AAGCGTAAATTTGTAATTTTTTGTCCCTTAAAAGTGTTATTTAAAATTATGCTTAATTTTTTTCCATGTCATCACTCACACAATCAAATAATTTTTGATAATATTCGAAATATATTTTAATTTAATCTTCTCTGCTATGGTACTGTCATATGAGTGTAAGTGACTGAGATATGAGTTTTGGTGGTGATATAATATTAGCAGCACACACCGGCTCTGAAGAAACTAGCATTGACCGCTGACACTCACATTGTTGTTTTACTAAGGAGTCAAAACGCTCCTCATTATAATTACATGGCTTTACCAGGGTTATCCATAGCCAGTATGTGTACTTTGATTTCATTTTGGGTTGATTTATATTTGCTGGACACAGTTTGAAGGAAGTCAAAAAGTAGTAAAATTTCTGGTTTAAGGCACTCTACGTTAGTCTCATAACATTTTTAAGTTTTATCCACCTCAATTGAATACAATTTAACAATTAATCCTTACTGTTTTTCCTGAAGTGGAAAAGTTGTCACTTGTCAAATCTAATGTTGCAGATAGCAAAAGATACATTACACGAACTCAGAGAACAGGCTTTGAGTCTAGGAGGCTTTTAAGTTATCTATTTATGTTTTAAGTTTTGTTATTTGCTCATTAGCTTCATTCAACTGTAACTACAACGCAGCAATAAACCTGAGGACTTCCTCATATTCCTTGCTGCATTGGTCAAACTAACCGTGCAATGTAGTTGATCTCTTTCTTTTATAAGACTAGTGTAATCAGTGTGCAACTTAACCATGTCACATTTTAATTGTGCATTTTTGGCAATTATGCTATTTCCTTATCATTATCATCCCTTTCCTTAAGTAACAGTTCACACTGCTCTCTGGTCGCCCTAAGTTCTTGGAGTGCATACTGAAGTTGGTTCTCCATTGGGATCGTTGAGTATATCTAGTATACTATTTATTGTAAATAATAAATGAAAATAAATATCGAAAACAGAAGGAGCAGAGCAAGCTGATGGCGTGTTTTTTTTAAATTATTTTAAACAGATCTCAAATCAAATTATCGTTAAAATAATTCGATAAAAAACCCGCAATTAATATACTAATCCGAGAAATATGTAGTGGATAGATGTTTGTCTAATAAAAGGAATGATATGAAATAAGGATTACAATGATTTTAAACAATGTTCGTTACTGTCACTTTTTATTCCAACACAAAAATGTTGTTATAATATTGATGTATCGGCTTTCATAAATATTCAATACAAAGAGGCAATAATTATTAACTATAATATAAAATTGAGGTGGATAATACGAATTTACAATATTTAAATCTTAGACAGCTGTCTACGATTCAAATTAATAAAATTTTCGGGTCCAATAACTTTTACAACTTATCACCAGGCTTGCCATAAAAAAAATTTTTAGTCTCTTCAAAAAATAAAAGCCGACTTCAAAGAACCAAAAAGAATAAAATTATTTCCGCATAATAGCTTCAGAAAAGAGAGAGAGAGAGAGAGAACTTTAATACTTCTATACTCAATGTCTTGGCACCGACTTGACTAAGGTGTAGAGTTTGAGAAGTTAGGGGTTTTAAAGTTAGGGCGTGTAGAATTAGTAGCTTGGCTCAACATGAGATCTGATAACTTTTTGAGACACCAATGAGCGGCTAGAACTACTGTCAGGCTGGCGAAGTGCGACATCAAAAACGATGTGTCGGTGGTCTGACTGTGTGACCGCCTGCTCCGCAACTCGCCACCCCGATAGTATTTGCTTACAGGAGGAGTTGACCACGTTAGATGTTAGATACAATGAACTGCCACCGCACGCATGTGCTTACGGATCCCTCATTCGCTAGCCGAAGGTCCAGTCCAACCGGTAATAAATTATAGTATATCCCTTCGGATCGTCTCTGGTGTTACCCTAGCTCTTAGAATGGGCGTTAAAATCTCCCAGGACGATCAATGGATGGGCTTGACAAATGCGAACACAGTTCGCCACCTTATCTAGATACGCCTCGTAGTCGGCAAGGGACCTATTGGACAGAGCAGCCGATTATGGCCAGGAGGCTCTTTTCCACTGCAATCTTTTTTTTGTATAGGATAGGGTGACAAACGAGCACACAGTCCACCTGATGATAAGTGGTTGCTGCGGCCCATAGACATCTACATATATCTTTCGATTAAGAATCAAAATGCGTTGTCACCCGTGAGGACTAAGATGGAATGCCTAGTTTCCAGTAAAAGGGTCTCCGGTTCTCTACACTCACCATACGATAGACAGCAGCATTATGCTACTATTTTACGCTGATATTCTGTGAAAGCATAGTCATTCCCCTGTCAAGCCGACCCATTTGTGCTATAACTATACTACTAATATAACTGCAGCATGGCATAAAACTCTTCAAATTTGGTCTCAGGCAAAATGTTATACAGTTAACCGTCCTCTAAATAAAGCGCGAAGTTTTGAAGCGCTTATATCCGTATATATTATGATAAATCAATGTCAACTGTAGTCAATTTGCCGGTGTGTTGTTGTGCGCGCTGAACAAACAGGTGCAGTAGCTTTACATCATAATATCAATCGTGTTAATTAAATGTCTAGACTCGCGTAGACAAGATTTTATATGACCTTTGAGGTAACTTATAACATGCATAAACAAAGATTTATGCAACATTATAGGTATTATCTCCCATTCTAAGGTTTTGTGTGGTTATAGAATTATGGTAACAAACGAGCAGAAAGTCCGCCTGATGGTAAGAGGATGCTATGGCCCATAGACATCTATATCCATCCTCGATTAAGAATCAAAATGCGTAGCTATCTCTGGTGCCGGCTGTAAACGCTCGTCGAGACATCACAAGACAGGCCGAGCACGAGTGTGTATATGGTGCCCTCGTCGCGTCACGTCGCATCTCGTGGCCTTCGTGCGCTCTCGGAAGCCTGTCGGTTATTTGAGCTCGAGTCAAAGGGTCTCGTGAGTCTCGCGATGAAAACGAGATTGCACTCTATTCTATTCACCGTACATGGTACTGTAACGGTAAATAGAAACCATCCACCATCTCCTTCTTCGCAATGGCTTATTAATTTTATTGTTTAGTAAATGTGTAAAAATTATAATAGCTCAAAGGCGAAAAGCAGCAACAGTTTCATCTGGGTCCATCTCAGCGGGAGTACGGAGTTCAAATGATACAATCGTACAACGAGTGTGTACATGGTGTGTTCTCGTGTCGAGCCTTTACGCGACGAGAGGCACACGAGGCGACGAGACGAGTGTGTACAGCCGCCATGAGAACTAAGATGGAATTCCTCGTTTCCAGTATGAAGTTGCGCATGAAGGGTTCCGTACCATCGTTAAATATTTAAAACTATGTATGTACTTTTAATATACTTTTGTAAAAGAAATAAGGGAGGCGCTATATCAATACATAAAGATTTGTAAAGTTTCCGAATTTAATCATATCGCTCCATACAGGTATTTATTAAGATTATTTGACAGTAATACGGAAAACTATCAAAGAGTATGTATATTGAATAGTTTGAAGTAGAGATTTTTTTAATAGACATTTATATGTATTTCCTTTATTTTCCATTACTATAATCCACTATTATGCCGTTAAAATCGAGCAAAACACTCCAAAAAACATTTAATTTTTAAATACCATTTTATTTCATGATATTTTTTTTCTAGCCAATATAATACAAACTTTGTGAGCATATGAAGCGCCTACTTGGTACCATTATTAAGATCTAGCAAAAAAAAAAAAAAACAACACTCGACTCTAGAGAACCGCCTTTAATTTTTAATTTATTTTTACTTTTATATGTTGATATAGCGGCAAAAGAAATACACAATCTGAAAAATTTTCAACTGTCTACCTATTACGAATCATTAGATACAGACCTCTGACAGACAGGTGGACGGACGGACAGAGGAGGCTTAGTAATAGGGCCCTGTTTGTAGCCCATTCGGGTACAGAACCCGAGTCTCCGGTTCTCTAACTCACCATACGAAACACAGCAACATTGAGCTGATATTTTACGCTGGTATTATGTGAGAGTGTGGTCCTAACCCGGTAGAGCGGACCCATTTATTTTGACCTTTATGTAGCTGCAACCTGACTCTACCACGTAAAAAGTCTTACCCACTTTTTTTAAGTAGTTGGCCGTACTAAGTGTTCTTAATTCTCACTTAAAACAGAAAAAGTGAAGTCATTATTTATTTATTTATTTAATCTTTATTATACACCTTATATATTAAGGGATATAAAGGGCGGACTTAATGCCTTATGGCATTCTCTGCCAGTCAACCCTGGATGATTTGAGAAACCGTGGCAGGTGTAATCAATCACTTCATAAATAAATAATAAGGATATAAAACGAAATAAAATGCAAATGAATAGAATAGATATATAGTTAGTAAAACATACTTACTTAAAATATAATATAGGATAAATAATAAATATCTAAACGGGTACTTCTATACAAAACTATAAGTAAATAGAATATTATGAGACATTATTTCTGTTTAGTTTTTCGTGATCGTTGAAAAACTAAAAGTTTTTATGAAAAACGTCTATGTATGTTATTTCGTGTTTAGTTTTGTGAAATATAGAGTATTAAACGTGTAGTGGCGGTGTCAGCATATTATAATATCAATATCGTTCCGTGTGTGTAGTAAGAGGCGACACAGTAAAACAATCCAAGTAATGTGCAGCAGCCTCCTCCTTAAAACAACTAAAAATAAAAAAACTGCGGTTGCCAATTCGTCTGCAGAGCGTGGCATTATTAACGCAAATATGAGGTTATCTGTTGAATAGACATGTCTTGCAGTGGATTTTAATAAGCAGTAACAGTAACCGTAATGGTAATAAAGAGTATAAACGTTAAAAACGTGGTTTGAATGTTGTTCATGAAAAGTGAAGTGACCTTGGGACAGTGACGCAGATCTTTAACCGAATCAAATAAATAATAAAATCAACAACACCGTCGACAAATTATCGAACTAACTCACAGTTGATCGAGCGCTCAGCAAGTAATCATGATTTATGTAAACATCCTTTCGATTTTGTTTAAATGTTTTATTAACTTGTTTATTGTGGCATTTACCTCTTTTACATTTCTAGTGGTTTTGTTAAAAATTTGGCTGGAGCCAAAGACAGGAATTTGCAGATGCGAAACCCGATTAGATGGCAAAGTAGCTCTTGTTACTGGTGGAAACTCTGGAATCGGATTAGAAACGGCCAGAGACTTAGCAAAAAGAGGTGCGAGGGTAATAATAGCTAGCAGGAATACCGCGAAATCTGAGCAAGCAGTCACTGACATAATTGCAACTACCGGTAATAAAAATGTAGAGTACAGAAGTTTGAATCTTTGTAAATTCAGCAGTGTGATAAATTTTGCTGATGATTTCAATAAAACAGTGAATCGTTTGGATATTTTGGTCAATAATGCTGGATGTGTTTGGATGCCTCACCGTACTTCCGATGACGGTATAGATCTTGTGATGCAAACGAATCATTTGGGACCATTTCTTCTCACAAATTTACTTATGGATAAACTAATATCATCGAAACCAAGTCGTATTGTCATTGTTTCATCTTATCTCCATAATTTTGGTCGTTTGGATCTTGACGATATTGCTGGCATCAATACTGCTTTTAATAGACGACTATTAGGAAACTACCTTAAATACGCAAATAGTAAACTTAGTAACGTTCTTTGGATGAAGGCCCTCGCAAAAAGACTTCCTAACGGAGTTACAGTCAATGCATTGCATCCAGGAGTAGTTACAACCGACATTTATGAATGGATACCATCATATGTTAGAAAAATTTTGAACATTTTAATGGATTTAATATTTAAGAACGCTAAAGAAGGTGCTCAAACAACTATACATCTGTGTGTTTGTGAAGAACTAACTGGTTTTACCGGCGGGTACTATAAAGACTGCAAGCTCCATCCTTATCACAAGATATGTGACGATGTTGATTTTGTTGATATGTTTTGGGATAAGTGTATTTTACTTACTTCGAGAAAACAGAACTAGATTTGTAGCAAATGACAGTAATTTGTTGTAACATTATTTTAGTAGTGATTAATTAAAAACCCTTTATTGACAAGCAATGATGACAGTTTTCTGAGATGTATTCTTCTATAAATTATTTATATACATAAATATATATATATATATATATATATATATATATATATATATTAAATTTTATATTAAATTAAAATTTTATATACTATATAATAAAATATGAATTGAAGATGTCTGTACATTTTATATCTTTGTAATAAAAGTGATGGGGGGGGACTAAAAATAAGTAAATAAATACACTTCTAACATTTTTAGAATTGTCTGTCTGTCTGTTTGTTAGTTAACGTATCACATATAAATTACTAATTTATATCAACACAATCGGTAAGGAAATTATAAAGCGTGTCTTCGTGTAACATTTAGTCTTTGTTTTATTAAAATCGGTTAATTCTATCAAAAGTCATGATTAATATTCTTAAGTATGGGTACGAAGTATAAGTACCAATTTGTTGAATGGCAGTGTTGAGTCATATAGTGCATTTTAATCTAATATCATAAATCATAATTAAATGATGTAAGATAATATTTCCATAACGATGTAATTATATCTGATACGAAGTAAACAAAAATAAGAAAGAATAACCTAATAAATATAAATAACAAATATAATTAACCTCAGTATCTAAAGTGCAATACTTAACCAATGTCACCGATAGATGGAGGTGTTGTGCAAAAGTACTACATAAAGGCAGGATGTGTTTTGTTAAATGTGTCTTTATATTTGCTGCTGATTTTTATAATATTCCTCAGTCCCCTACTGCGTGTTGACAGACTTTTTTTTTAGGATAGGGTGACAAAGAGCACACAGTCCACCTGATGGTAAGTAATTGCTGTGGCCCATAGATATCTACATCTATCCTTGATTACAAATCAATATGCAGATGCGTTGTGACGTGTGAGGACTAAAATGGAATGCCTCGTTTACAGTAAAAAGGGTCACTGATTCTCTACACTCACCATACGAAACACAGGAGCATTAAGCCACTATTTTACGCTGGTATTCTGTGGGAGCGTGGTCCTTCCCCGGTCGAGCCAACCCATTCGCGCTACAACTATACTACTAATATAACTGCAACATGGCTCCACCACGTATAAAAAAGACTCATTCATTAAATTTTGAATAAGAAGGTTTGCTTAAAATGTTTTCCTATACTTCAGAGTAACCTAACCTACATTAAAAATAACGTTAGTTTCGGCTAGGATTGAACTTTCTTCTTCGCCTTTACCACTGTAGGAGTGATTTGTTTTGCAGGCACTGATTTAAAAGGTCTGATATGTTTTATATTGGTTGCGCTAAAATGAACACACATCTCATCATCATTCGTTCAGTTAGTTGACTGTATTAGCTAGCAGTACTAGGAGGCTAGATTAGTGGCGTCATTTCGCACGCCTAATGAGAAAGGGTTACACAAAAGTGAAAGGGGAAACACGCCACCGGTCGACCAGAGTTGTTGACGTGCCGCGGCCGCTCGAGCAGTTGGAGCTAGATATTAAATGGCACCTCTGTGGCAGTCGGCCACAGAACAACTTAGTAGTGACCGCTAGCGCAGGTGCATTTGTATTGGGTGCGTATAATAAATAATTTATCGTCACGCACCACCGCAGATGGAACGTAGCATCATCAACCTCGAAGCCTGAGTAGGAAGCAATCCGAAGATCAACGCTCAAGTAAGTGCATTTTCCCATCTTGAGCGGTGCTCATTTGTTGTTCTTTTCCCACAGCAGATCATGCTCCTGCCCCTGCCAGACCAGACCAGACCAACCAAATTAGGTTCTAGCAAAGTGTATCGTCCAAAACCCGGTCACGTGCCATGTCCGCCATCTTGTTTTGTTTATAACTATATATAACTACGCACATACAGTCCACCTATCGTTTATCTCGCATACAAATCTCGGAGTCATTATTCCCGTAATCGAACCCGGGACCCTATAGCCAACCACTTTGTGATTTCTTCTCTCCGGATACGAAGGGCAACCTAGTCACCCTAACCATTTAGTGACCATCCGTTTCCGGATTCGAACCCAGGAACCATTAGCGTCACCATTTTGTGGTCATTCGCCCCGGATTTAAAATTAGCAACCCTACCGCTCCACCAATATAATGTATCAATCGCGTCGTTTTTTTCTTTTATTTTTAGAATTAATGACAGTATCGCCATCTCTCTTTAAATTTATTCCTATAATAAAATTATAATTACCTGTGTGTATACATTGTATAATATATTTATGACAATAAACATTAACGGGACTGAAAATAAGTAAATGTGTTCGTACAGGAGGGCTACGATGACTATCCGAGTACAGAACCAGAGTACGAAACCTATCCAACTGCAGAGAGATGTAAGCCAGGGTGACGTAATATCCCCGAAACTCTTCACCGCTGCATTGGAAAACGTTTTCAAACTACTGTGTTCCACAAAAATATTGGAATGACTTCATCATCGCGTTTATCGAGTTAACGTCATCGGTATCGATATGCGAAAACAAGCGAGTGCGAGTTACAATCGAAGCTAACTTTTCGATTCGCGTTTGGTCACCGCGATGGGCGTTTATTGCTTTTTTCTTCTTTTATGGTGGTAGCATGTTCACTTCGTGAGATAAACTAACTAAATTCAGAATAACATTTTTATTTAGCAGTCTTAAGAGGATAGAGTAAGTCAGCTCAAATTCTAATTTCGCCCCCACTTCCCCGCGCGTCGTATGCTATGTACCTATATGTTTGTAATCACTAATACTGTAAGTAGAAAGGTCGTTAGACACTTATTTCATTAGGTTTATCATATTTATGCCTGTTTCTTAACGCCAAGCCAGCCGCTTCTTATTTTTATCACGGTTATTTCCCATTTTAATTTTACGTCGTACTGTTGCGTAATGTATATTCTGATCGTAAGCGACACAACTTCTCCCTTCAAAAGCCTAAGCGATACTAACGGGGCGACTGGAATCAAGCTACAATACGATAGTTTAGGTAATTTCTTTTTACAGTGAAAATAATGGTATTTTAAAAAAGTAAATAACATAAGCACTGCTTTATAGTTAGTTCAGTTAGTATGCAAAGTTTCATGATCTTATTTAAAGGATTTTATGAATAACAGCGGTTTATTGTTTATTTTGGAGGTAACTTTGGATTTTTTTTTCTATCGAGAAAATTTTACGAAATCGTGTTTTCGTCTAACATAATCATTAACATTAATCCTCAACTTTACCATATATTTATTTCAAAATTAATGCTGCAATATTTTCGGCATAACGAAGGATCTTGCTAAGCCATTTGACATTTATATTTCCCAGTCTTAAAATTAGCATCTGTCTATTAAATATGTGGTTATTATAGCGATCTTTATTACTTATTTGTTTATGTTTCGTAATTTGATCAAGGTTTTGACAATTTGTGTTAGTATATTGAGATTGTGAATTAGCCATTTAATTGTTAATAATAGAAAGCTTTAAATTAAAAGCAAAAAACATGAATAGGTTACATTCTTGGAGCAGTAAATGTAATTTAAGTTATTTAGTGTTAAGTAACGTTGATGTGTCTGTTTTGTTACTAAGTTTCACGGACTAGAATTTATTGGATTTTCGACATGGATGCCTCAACAAAGCATCGTCTAATGCAAGCGATTTCGCTTGCATTAGACTATTTAGTCTGTATGAAGTATCGGAGAGGAATTGACTTAATTATTGAATAGTGATGGTGGACCTTAGATTTATCAAACGCTATTTACACAAAACTTGAAAATTTTAATGGAAAATACGATAAATAAAATAAAAATAAAAAAGCCTTTTATTCCATGCTAAATAAGTTTTACAATATAATTTTTTTACAATTTAATTTGCATTTTATAAAGGAAATTGAAAATATAAATTTAGTTTAGATTTTAATACATTAATTTATTTCTATATTAATAAATGAATTTGATTGAGGTAATAATTAATGTCATAATTTTGAGTACCTATGATAACTATTTTTCATAAATTTGGTTAAAATTTGTATATACATTATAAATAACATTAATATTTTCAAACTATGTAATTGATTTATAAACTTTAAGTGACTATTTCAGATGGATTTGGTTTTTATAACATTTTAATAGGACAAAATTAATTTAAATAAGTTGCAAATTGACAAAGTATTTTAATTTATAATTTATTAAGGATCTATATTCTCATTTGTGTTTGTTTGCTTTGCATGGACCCCCCTTAGGTAAAGGCCTCCTCAAAAGATTTCCATTTGTCTCTCATCATCATCATCATTACAGCCCTTCACAAGTCCACTGCTGAACATAGGCCTCCCCCAAGTAATGCCACAAAGCACGGTCCTGAGCCACCTGCATCCATCTGACTTCCTGCATGTCTTACCAGGTCGTCACTCCATCTAGTGGGGGGTCGCCCTGGTTGTACACTTTAGTTTTCAGAGATTGAGGTATACCTGACGAGAAGATGTGTCGTAATTTCCCGAACGCTGCCGAGCCGAGTTGAATCCGTCGATTGACCTCTCGGTCGAAGTTGGACTTACATAGTCGGACTATTTGTCCCAAGTAAACTTACTCGTCAACAACTTCGAGCATAGTGCTCCCCACAACTACCGGCATGGGTGTGACATGGACATTGAACATAATCTTTGTTTTGTCCATGTTAATCTTAAGACCTATCCGTTGGGAGACACCATTGAGGTCATTGAGCATAGTGCTAAGGTCCTCCAGCGATTCTGCCATAAGGACTATATCATCGGCAAATCGAAGGTGAGTGATGTACTCGCCATTGATGTTAATACCGTATCCTTCCCAGTCCAGTACCTTGAAAACGTCTTCCAACGCAGCGGTGAAGAGTTTCGGGGATATAACGTCACCCTGTCTTACACCTCTCTGCAGTTGGATAGGTTTCGAACTCTGGTTCTGTACTCGGATAGCCATCGTAGCCCTACTGTACAAACACTTCAGCACATC